AGCCCTGGCCTGGGGGAGCTCTGGGTGATGAAATTCATCCCGGCAGAGCAAATCCTGCCTCCCCGCCCAGCTGCTGATGCTGTCCGTGCTGTGTTGCAGGTGGTGGCAACGCCAGCATTCCCGGCATCGAGAGGATGGCCCCTGGCATCGAGCGGATGGGCTCGGGCATCGAGCGGATCCCGGCGGGCATGGGGCACGGGATGGAGCGGGTGGGCTCGGAGATAGACAGGATGGGGCTGGTGCTGGACCGCATGGGCTCCAACGTGGAGCGCATGGGCTCGGGCATGGAGCGCATGGCCCCGCTGGGCATCGACCACCTGGCCCCCAACCTGGAGCGCATGGGGCCGGGCATCGAGCGCATGGGGCCGGGCATCGAGCGCATGGGCTCCGGCATCGGCTTCGGCATCGAGCGCATGGGCGCCGCCATCGAGCGCGTGGGCGGCGCCATGGACAGGATGGGCTCGGGCGTGGAGCGCATGGGGGCGGGCATGGATAGGATGGGCATCGGCCTGGAGCGCATGGTGCCCGCCGGCATTGGCGCGGGCATGGGGCAGGTGATAGAGAGGATGCCCGCGGGGCTGGAGCGCATCGGGGGCCCGCCCATGGACAGGATCGGGATAGAGAGGATGGGAGCCGCCCCCATGGACAGGATGGGCCTGGAGCGCATCGGGGCCACCAACATGGAGAGGATGGGGCCGCCCATGGGGCAGGGCATGGGGGCGGGCATGGAGCGCATGGGGCTGGCCATGGGCAGCAACTTCGAGCGGCCCATGGACATGGAGCGGGGCAACTTCGCAGGGAATTTTGCAGGGTCCCTGGGAGGAGCCGGAGGCCCTGCGCCCGGCGTGGCCCGGAAAGCCTGTCAGATATTTGTGAGAAATGTGAGTGCCCCTTTTTCCTTCTCCTTTTCGTGCTGCCCCTTCTCCCACTCCTGCCCTTTCCCACCCGTGGCATTCATTGTCACTGATATGTTATCTCATCCATGCTCTGTTTCCAGTCACAATATCTAATACTGGGTGCTGCCACTCTTTGGGGACAGTTGGAGCCATTTCCTTACCAGGAGAAGAGCTCCTGGCTGACCATGATCCATGGTTTTATGGCAGTGGCTGTCCTGGGATGTGTTCTGTTTTTGGGGAGCAGGGGTTGCCTGCACGTCATTCAGCAGAGCCTCAGTAATGCTTTATTTCTCTCTTCCCACAGCTGCCTTTTGATTTTACATGGAAAATGCTGAAAGATAAATTCAATGAATGTGGTGAGTTGCTTTTCTCACTCTGAGGAATTAATATGAATAACCTCCCAGAGCTCTGAGTGCCAAAGCCAGGGTGGGGAGCAGTCCTTGGGGTGAAGAATTGGGATTGGATAGAGAGTGGATGGAGGGAGCCAAAGCCGTGATGGGGAGCAGTCCTTAGGGTGAAGAGCAGGGACTGGATGGAGGGTGCCATGGAGCCATTTCCTTACCAGGAGAAGAGCTCCTGGCTGACCATGATCCATGGTTTTATGGCAGTGGCTGTCCTGGGATGTGTTCTGTTTTTGGGGAGCAGGGGTTGCCTGCACGTCATTCAGCAGAGCCTCAGTAATGCTTTATTTCTCTCTTCCCACAGCTGCCTTTTGATTTTACATGGAAAATGCTGAAAGATAAATTCAATGAATGTGGTGAGTTGCTTTTCTCACTCTGAGGAATTAATATGAATAACCTCCCAGAGCTCTGAGTGCCAAAGCCAGGGTGGGGAGCAGTCCTTGGGGTGAAGAATTGGGATTGGATAGAGAGGGGATGGAGGGAGCCAAAGCCGTGATGGGGAGCAGTCCTTAGGGTGAAGAGCAGGGACTGGATGGAGGGAGCCAAAACCAGGGTGAGGAACAATCCTTGGGGTGGGGAATTGGGACTGCATGGAGAGAGCCAAAGCAAAGGTGAGGAGCAGTCCTTGGGGTGGAGAATGGGGACTGGATAGAGAGTGCCAAAGCCAGGATGGGGAACAATCCTTGGGGTTGGGAATGGGGATTGGATGGAGAGAGCCAAAGCCAGGATGGGGATCAGTCCTTGGGACTGGCTGACCATGATCCATGGTTTTATGGCAGTGGCTGTCCTGGGATGTGTTCTGTTTTTGGGGAGCAGGGGTTGCCTGCACGTCATTCAGCAGAGCCTCAGTAATGCTTTATTTCTCTCTTCCCACAGCTGCCTTTTGATTTTACATGGAAAATGCTGAAAGATAAATTCAATGAATGTGGTGAGTTGCTTTTCTCACTCTGAGGAATTAATATGAATAACCTCCCAGAGCTCTGAGTGCCAAAGCCAGGGTGGGGAGCAGTCCTTGGGGTGAAGAATTGAGATTGGATAGAGAGTGGATGGAGGGAGCCAAAGCCGTGATGGGGAGCAGTCCTTAGGGTGAAGAGCAGGGACTGGATGGAGGGTGCCAAAACCAGGGTGAGGAACAATCCTTGGGATGGGGAATTGGGACTTCCTGGAGAGAGCCAAAGCAAAGGTGAGGAGCAGTCCTTGGGGTGGAGAATGGGGACTGCATGGAGAGTGCCAAAGCCAGGATGGGGATCAGTCCTTGGGATGGGGAATTGGGTCTGCCTGGAGAGAGCCAAAGCAAAGGTGAGGAGCAGTCCTTGGGGTGGAGAATGGGGACTGCATGGAGAGTGCCAAAGCCAGGGTGGGGAGCAGTCCTTGGGATGGAGAGTGCCAAAGCCAGGGTGGGGAGCAGTCCTTGGGATGGAGAGTGCCAAAGCCAGGGTGGGGAGCAGTCCTTGGGATGGAGAGTGCCAAAGCCAGGGTGGGGAGCAGTCCTTGGGATGGAGAGTGCCAAAGCCAGGATGGGGATCAGTCCTTGGGATGGGGAATTGGGTCTGCCTGGAGAGAGCCAAAGCAAAGGTGAGGAGCAGTCCTTGGGGTGGAGAATGGGGATTGGATGGAGAGTGCCAGAGCCAGGGTGGGCATCAGTCCTTGGGGTGGAGAGTGCCAGATCCAGGGCAGGGAGCAGTCTTTGGGATGGAGAGTGCCAAAGCCAGGGTGGGGATCAGTCTTCGGGATGGAGAGTGCCAAAGCCAGGGCGGGGAGCAGTCCTTGGGGTGGAGAGTGCCAAAGCCAGGGTGGGATCAGTCTTTGGGATGGAGAGTGCCAGAGCCAGGGCGGGGAGCAGTCCCTGGGGTGGGAGCGGGGCCTGGGCCGTGCCTGACGCTGCCGTCCCGCAGGCCACGTGCTCTACGCCGACATCAAGATGGAGAACGGCAAGTCCAAGGGCTGCGGCGTGGTGCGGTTCGAGTCGCCGGAGGTGGCGGAGCGCGCGTGCCGCATGATGAACGGGCTGCAGCTGCGCGGCCGCGAGATCGACGTGCGGATCGACCGCAACGCCTAGGCACCGCTGCACCGCTGCGGCTGCACCGCTGCGGCTGCACGGCTGCGGCTGCACCGCTGCGGCTGCACGGCTGCGGCTGCACCGCTGCGGCTGCACGGCTGCCTGCACCGCTGCGGCTGCACCGCTGCCCGCGCCGCCTCCCACTGGATGTAAAGCTGTTCAGCCCGACCCGGTTGCTTTCTGGAGTCATTTTAAGTCCTTTTTTTAACCGAGGGAGCCCCGTTTTACTGGTTTTTTGCATTGGAACTGCCATGTGCACAATCTTTTTTTGTAGTTGTGGCATTTCGTTGACCTGACAGATGTAAACAGTCTGACTTTGATAATAAATGCCAGTTCAGTATTTCCGTCGCAGCATCCTTTACTCTGCTTAAAATCCCTGCCAGCTCAGCTCTTCAAACTCCAGTTTGTCAAAAAAAATCCGGTCTTCCTCTTGGTTTCTGACAGAATCTCTTTAAAATGCGTCCAAGGGTGCAGGATCTTCCCTCTCCTGTATCCCACCTAATCCATGGGCAGTCCCAGCTCAAGGTTTTTCTCCAGCGGCTATGCTGGTTTAAAAAAAATCTCCCCTGGGTCGTGTTGGTGCCAGCGGAAAGCTTTGAAGTGAAAAAGGGGTTAAAAACCTCTTTATTCTCTCCTGCGGGGGTGTCTGGCCCAGGCAGGTAAGGGGCAAGCACCTGCTGCAGGTGAGAGGGGGCAGAATTCCGCTTTTCCTGCAGGAAACGCTTTTAACACAAACGGATCAGGTTTGGGGCAGGGGGAGGACGGCCCCGGGGGGTTCCCGGTGCGGCCGGGGAGGATCCGGAGCAGCCCCGAATGGGGCTGGGGAGGATTCGGGACAGCCCCGGCGGGGCCGGGCCGGTCCCGGAGCAGCCCCGGCGGGGCCGGGCCGGTCCCGGGGGACCGCGAGCGGCGCGCCGGGGCCCAGCCCGGAGCCGCCGTTCCCTCCCAGCCTGCAGGGCCCCGGCGCTGGCGGCTCCCGGTGCGGACAGCCGGGCCGGGGGGGCCCCGGTTCCTCGGCCCCGCTCCGCGCTCGCTGCTCCCGCCCGGCCCGGCGGGATGGAGCCTCCAGCGGGGCTGTTCCCGCGGTTGGGAAGGGTCGAGGCTGCTCCAGCCCAACCATCCCGGGCTCCCGGGGCCTCTCCCGGGGCCGCCGTGCCCCGAGCTGCCCCCGGGGCCTCTCCCGGGGCTCCGTGAGGGCGGTTTTGCCGGGAGCTGCACACGCTGAGCCGGTTTGAACCCTTCGTGCCCGGAGCTTCGGGATTTCTGCTCCCGTTGCTCGGGGCTCTTCCCTCCCCGGCTCCCGCCCCGAGCTCCGGTCTGTCCGTGAGCGAGCGCGGATTTTTGTGTGGCATTTCCCCGATTCTCCCCTGCTGCGAGCCCTGAGCTCGGCGCTGACCCTTCCAGAGCGGGAATTGCGGCTTTGACCTTGGCAGGGACAGCAGAACCATCCATGGATTGTTCTGGGATCCTCCAGAGCTGGGGCAAAGCTGTGTTTGGAGGAGTTTTCCCCCCCAAAAAAACCCCTTGTGCTTCTCATCCCTCAGCTCCAGAGGATTTGTGCATCGCTGCTGTCCCAAATGTGGGTGCTGGGGGTTCTTGGATGCTTCCCTGAGCTCCTGCTGTGCTGTTTTCCCTGCAGAAATGTCTCCTCAGTGGGCTGTGGCTGCTCTCCAGGCGTTACCCCGTCCCTGCCCTCCCCAGGAGTGCCCTGTACAGGATCAGCAGCCCTGCCCTGGGCACCCCTCAGGTTGGTCCCACCTGAATTTTATCCCATTTCCACCCCAAAGTGCGTTCCCAGCAGAGCCCTGAGCTGGATGGGGATGTGGCGCTGGGAAGTGCCAGTTCCAGGCTGGGAATCTCCAGCTTTTTTAATGGAACTCAAGGAATTTTTGGGGCAGCTGAGGTTGGACAGGGCTTGGAGCAGCCTGGGGCAGGGGGTGGAGCTGGGTGGGATTTAAGCTCCTTTCAACCCAATCCATCCTGAGATTCCATGGAATCCGTTGGCCATGTGGCTCTTTGAAGGGCCAGCTGCTGCTTTTCCAAGCAGCTCCATGTTTTCCACACGTTCCAAAAGAGATCCAGGGCTTGCCTCGAGCCCATCGAGCTCCTGCCCTCAAAACTTGCGTTTTTGGGGTCCCGTTTGCTGGAGTTCCTTGGGATTGCCCAACATGGAATGGTTTTCTCCAGTCCAGGTGCTACTCCTCGGGGGGAAGGAAGGGATTCATCTCAGGTTTTGTGGAGAACATCAAACAGGAGTTAGCCAAAAACAAAGAGATGAAGGAAAGCATCAAAAAATTCCGAGATGAAGCAAAAAAGCTGGAGGAGTCGGATGCGCTGCGGGAAGCAAGGAGGAAATATGTGAGTGTTTGGGAGTTCCCTGCTTTGTTCCCTGCTTTATTGAGCTTTTACTGCTCTGAGTGAGCATTTCAATCCACAGTTGAGCTGTTCAGGAGAAGTTCTGCTTGGCTGGAAGCACTCAGTGCTAAATGGACACCTCAGAATGTTTTATTTGTTGGAATGTTTTGGGATTTTTTTTTTTTTTTAGTGGAAAGTCTTTCCAGCAGACACTTGGCTGCATTTCTGAGCAGATCAAATAATGAGGCATTAAATTGAGCATCAGATGTTTCTTTTGCATTGTTCAGAGAGCTCTGAACATCATCATTTGCAAAGCTGCTGCTGACTCAGGCCGTGAACTCCTGAAATGTTGCTTTTCCTGCCCTCAATTCCAGCCTTAATGGGTTGTGCTCCATCCAAGCTGGGTTGGAGTAGTTTCTGTCTCTTGATTAATGTTCCTTTCCCCCAGAAAACCATTGAATCTGAAACAGTGAAGACCTCAGAGGTGATTAAAAAGAAACTTGAAGAAATAACAGGGACGGTTAAAGAGGTAAAAGGACCTTTCAGCTCTGCTGAGGCTGGGCTTTTGGGGGGCTGGAATTGTCATTGCTGCTGCTCCTGGGGCTTCTAAAACCAGAGGCATTCATAAAATAATGGATTGGGTGTGGTCAGAGCCAGGGATTCCTCTGGGATTTGGGGCATGGAGAAGAGGGAGACCCCACCTGCAGCCTTGGCAGCCCAAAATAAGGATGTGGAGCTGCTGGAGAGAGTCCAGAGGAGCCCCTGGAGCTGCTCCCAGGGCTGGAGCCCCTCTGGGGACAGCTGGGGGTGCTCACCTGGAGAGGAGAAGGCTCCAGGGAGAGCTCAGAGCCCTGCCAGGGCCTGGAGGAGCTCCAGGAGAGCTGGAGAGGGACTGGGGCTGAGGCCTGGAGCTGCAATGACCTTTCCCTTTTCCCTTGCAGAGTTTGGATGAGGTCAGCAAGAGTGACCTGGGCAGGAAGATCAAGGAGGGGGTGGAGGAAGCTGCCAAAACGGCCAAACAGTCTGCAGAGTCTGTGACCAGGGGAGGGGAGAAGCTGGGCAGGACTGCAGCCTTCAAAGCCATCTCCCAGGTACTGCTCCCTGAGCTCCCAGGGCTTCCAAACCTCGGGAGAGGCTTTGGGGGGAGGTTTGGGCTGAAATCCTGCAGGGCTGAAATCCTGCAGGGGTGAAATTCTGCAGGGGTGGAATCCTGAAAGGCTGAAATCCAGCAGGGCTGGAATCCTGCAGGGCTGAAATCCTGAAATCCTGCAGGGCTGAAATCCTTCAGGGGTGAAATCCTTCAGGGCTGAAATCCTTCAGGGCTGAAATCCTGAAAGGCTGAAATCCTGCAGGGCTGAAATCCTGCAGGGCTGAAATCCTGCAGGGCTGAAATCACACCTCCCCATCAGGGCTGAGTTCCTGGGGAGCTGCCTGCTGCAGGGTTGTAAAATGTCCCTCTCCAGAGGGATCCCAGCCTCCTCAAATCCCTCTTTTTGCAGGAATACAGAAAATCTCCAATCTTCTGTGGCTGCCCCACCCTGGCAGCGCCCGGCGCCTTCTGCTCTCCCAGACCATCACAGGATGGGATTTTCAGCTCCTGGGAGAGCCATAAACCCACACTAACGGGGCTGTTTTCCTTGCAGGGAGTAGAAACTGTGAAGAAGGAGCTAGATGAGAGTGTTTTGGGCCAGACAGGTCCTTACAGACGCCCGGAGCGGCTCCGGAAGCGGACGGAATATTCCGGAGAGAGGATCAAAGAGCAGCGAGTGTTTGAAGCCAATGAGTAGGTGGGGGGTCCTCTGGGGGGGATGTTTCTGTGTGTAATTTGATGGAAAAGGTAAAAAACGGGCCAGGGATTTAAAATCCAGGAGCTGTGGGGTGGGAGCAGCTGGGTCTCCAGCACATTCCCAGCAGGAGCGGATGATCCCGGATCTTCCTGTGGTAAAACTGGAAATTTCAAATTCTAAAGGTGAAATTTAATGTTCTGAGGTGAAATCCTGAGCTGAGCATTGTTTTGTGTTCAGTTTTAACTGTGCTGCTGGGTGAGGCTGAGCTCCTTTTTTCTGGACTGCTTTGCTCCTCTGAGTTGAGTTTTATTTGTCTGGTGCTTTATTAATCTGGGGTTTTGTTTATCTGATGTTTTATTTATCTGGGTTTTTATTTGCCTGGTGTTTCATTTATCTGGTGGATCATTTATGGGGCTATCATTTATGGGGCTGCAATTTATTTTATAATTGATGAGGCCATCGTTTATCTTGTAATTGAGCTCATCATTTCTGTGCTGTCAGCCTCGGTGATGCCAAGTGCTGCAGGGATATTCCTCAGGGTGTTGTCTGTATTTGTTACAAGTTAATTTTTCCCAAATATCCACATTTTATCCCTGTTTTCTGCTCTTTCTAGAGAAGCCATGGGCATGGTGCTGCATAAAGACTCCAAGTGGTACCAGCAGTGGAAAGATTTCAAGGACAACAACGTGGTTTTCAACAGTGAGTTGAGCCCATTCCCTTCCCAGCTCCCATCTGAGCCTCCAGCCCCAGCAAATCCCAAATTCCCACTTTTCTCTGTGGGTTTGGAGCCAGTGCTGGGAGTGCTGAGAAGGGAGGGAGGCAGAGCTGAGAGCTCTGCAGCTTCTTCAGTCCCTGCTCCAGGACACCAGACCCTGCTCAGGGGGAGCTGAACTCGTGGGTTTCCTGTTCTTCCCTCCTCAGCTTTGTTCTGGCACCAGGGAGAGGGAAGGCAGCTCTGCTCCTCCCCAGCTGGAGCTTAAAACCAGGAAAATCCTGAAAAAATCGAGGGAGTTTCACACAGCTTCCAAATTGGTGAAAGACTTAAAAAAAAAAAAAAATCCTGTGATCTTTCTGTCGTGTAAAGCTGATTTTTGATATCATCTGAGGCTGTTTCTGGTGCAAATGCCCTGAAAACAATCCCAGAATTTAGCTTGGAAAAGGCCTCCAGGACCTTTGAGTCCAAGCTGTCCCTGACCCCACCTTGTCACCCCCAGGGCCCCAAGTGCCACCTCCAGGGATGGAGACTCCACCAGTGGGAGCAACGCTGCTCAGAGTGAGCCTGATCCTGAATTTGCTCATTCCACTGGATAAATACCCTTCCCAGGGGTGTTAAATCTGAGTGTTAGCACAGGAGGAGTTGCTGAGAGATCAGAACATTGCAGGAAAACGGGGAGAAACATGGGGAGAAAAACAGGGAGGAAAATGGGGAAGAACATGGGGAGAAAAACAGGGAGGAAAATGGGGAAGAACATGGGGAGAAAACAGAAAAATGGGGAGAAAAATAGGGAATAAAATGGGGAGAAAAACAAGGAGGAAAATAGGGAATAAAATGGGGAGAAGACAGAAAAATGGGGAGAAAAATAGTGAGTAAACTGGGGAGAAAAACAGAGAGAAAAGTAGGGAATAAAATGGGGAGAAGACAGATAAATAAGGAATAAAATGGGGAGAAAACAAAAACGGGGAGCAAACCAACTCCCAGCTGGTGCCTGGTGCTGAACAAAGGGATTGAGCAGAGCTTGGGCCCTGCAGGTCGTCCCTGGCTGGGTGGCTGGGAGGGCTCTGAGCTCTCTGTTCCCTGCAGGGTTCTTTGAGATGAAGATGAAATACGACGAGAGCGACAACGCCTTCATCCGAGCGTCGCGCGCCGTCACCGACCGCGTCACCGACCTCATAGGTACAGGGACATCAGGGAGCTGGTCATGGGTGCAGGGACACCCTGGGGCTGGTCATGGGTACAGGGACATCAGGGAGGTGGTCATGGGTACTGGGACATCAGGGAGGTGGTCATGGGTACAGGGACATGAGTGAGCTGGTCATGGGTGCAGGGACATGAGAGGGCTGGTCATGGGTACAGGGACACCTCTGGGCTCCTCCTGGGTACAGGGACACCCTGAGCTGCTCCTGCAGCTGGGGCTGCCAGCCCTGAGCACATCCCCGAGCTCTGCAGCACTTCCATGGGTCACTGTCCGGGTGAGGGATGGGAGGACAATCCTTGGGATCCTCCTCAGGTTGAGCTTCAAGGCTGGAGTCGTTCCCAGGGCGGCTTTTCCTCTCCTCTGTCACCAGAGGTGTGTCCCTGTTCCCTGGTGGCTTTTCCTCTGCTCTGTCACCAGAGGTGTCCCTGTTCCCTGGTGATTTCCCTCTCTGCTGTCACCAGAGATGTGTCCCTGTTTCCTGGTGATTTCCCTCCCTCTGTCACCAGAGGTGTCCCTGTGGCCAGGTGGCTTTCCCTCTCTGTCACCAGAGGTGTCCCTGTTCCCTGGTGATTTCCCTCTCTGCTGTCACCAGAGATGTGTCCCTGTTTCCTGGTGATTTCCCTCCCTCTGTCACCAGAGGTGTCCCTGTTCCCTGGTGGCTTTCCCTCTCTGTCACCAGAGGTGTGTCCCTGTTCCCTGGTGATTTCCCTCTCTGCTGTCACCAGAGGTGTCCCTGTGGCCCGGTGGCAGTGCCAGCCCCCACTGAGCTGTTTTTGCAGGGGGGCTGTTCTCCAAGACCGAGATGTCCGAGGTGCTGACGGAGATCCTCAGGGTGGACCCCTCCTTCGACAAGGATCGCTTCCTGAAGCAGTGCGAGCGCGACATCATCCCCAACGTGCTGGAGGTGCTCAGCAGCCCCTGCTTCCCTTCACTCTCCCCTTCAGTACCCCCTGCAAAATGGGGTTTTTTTAAATTTTTCCATGGCTAAAAGCAAAAGTTGGCTCAGGATTTGCTTCTCCAGCTTTGCACAGGAAAGGTCTTTGCACAGACCTTGGGAAAGGAATCAGATCCCACATTTAGGTTAAAACTGTGGGATAAAATATTATCCCACATATATATATATACATATATATATATATACATATATATATATTTTTTTAAATTTATATATATATAATATATATCATAAATATATAATATAAATATATACATATAATGTATTATAAGATATATATTATATATATTATATATACTATACATAAAATCTATATATTTTATATATAAGTCATATATAACTATAAGTCTTTATATACATATATATGTATATATATATATATACATATAAAATGTGGGAATCAGATCCCACATTTAGGTTAAAACTGGGATAAAAGGATGTTAATAAAAATAGAAATATTATATATATATATATATAAAATATATATCATAAATATATAATATAAATATATACATATAATGTAGTATAAGATATATATCACATATGATATATATTATATATTCTATACATAAAATTTATATATTTTAAAAATAAAAATGTAAGTATTTATATATATGTCATATACATATATGTATATATGTATATATAAATATATAAATAAATAGATATAAATAATATATATAAATAATAGATATAATACATAGATATAAATAATGATTTTTTCTGGCCTGGAAAACAACAAATGAGGTGGGATCAGAGGGAAGTGGGTGAGCAAATGGTGATAGCAGAGGGATAGGGGGAGGAATTTGGGACGTGCTCCTGGGTTTTGATCTGGGATTTGGGAAGAGCAGCAGCTTGTGAGCAATGGTTCAGTGGTCATGGAAGTGTCTGGAATTTGAGGTTTTTAGGGATTCAGAGTGATGGGAGATGTGGCTGTAAGTGAATGTGGGTCCTTGTCCCTGCAGCAGGAAAGACAGAGGGAATTTGGGATTTGAAATGGAGCAGGAATTGCTCTGAATTTGGGATTTGAAATGGAGCAGGAATTGTTCTGAATGTAGGATTTGAAATAGAGCAGGAATTGCTCTGAATTTGGGATTTGAAATGGAGCAGGAATCTTTCTGAATTTGGGATTTGAAATGGAGCAGGAATTGCTCTGAATGTGGGATTTGAAATGGAGCAGGAATCGTTCTGAATTTGGGATTTGAAATGGAGCAGGAATTGCTCTGAATGTGGGATTTGAAATGGAGCAGGAATCGCTCTGAATTTGGGATTTGAAATGGAGCAGGAATTGCTCTGAATGTGGGATTTGAAATGGAGCAGGAATCGTTCTGAATTTGGGATTTGAAATGGAGCAGGAATTGCTCTGAATGTGGGATTTGAATTAGAACAGGAATCGTTCTGAATTTGGGATTTGAAATGGAGCAGGAATTGTTCAGAGAGACTCAGGAGAGGCTGGAAGAGCTGGGGCTTGAGGAGCCAAACGTGGGATTGTTCTGTTCCTTCTGTGCCCTGAATTTTTCAGTGTGGGAAATTGCAGCTCTGCTCCTGCTCCTGTTTGCTCCCAGGCTTTCTGAGCCCTGGGAGCTCTGCTGGCTCTGGCAGGCTGAACAGGAAGATTTAATGGCAAGATCCAGCTGGAAGCTTTAAGAGAGTTTAATTATCCAAAGGTTTATTGGTTTATTTATCCCTTGGCCTGTGTTTTTATAGAAATCCTTTTTGCTGTTCCCCTTTGCAGCTCCAATTTCCCCCCAGAGCCCCACAAAAAGTGGGATTTAAGGTGTTTTGCTGCTGGAAGGGCTGATTGGTCCCACTTTGATCTAGGAGGAGCTTTAAAATGTTCTGTCTGATTTCCTCCTCAGGCTCTGATCTCCGGGGAGCTCGACATCCTCAAGGACTGGTGCTATGAGGCCGTGAGTGAAGCTCCAAAAAACCCCCCAAAACTTGGGATTCTCCCTTGAAAATGGGGTTATTTGGAGGGGTTGGAATTCAGGGAGATCCTGGAAGCAGAGCCTTTCCTGACAGTGTTAGTGAGCTTTTATTTGGGTCTTCATTCCTCCAAAATTACTGTGCTGTAAAATCCAAAATAATTCTGCTCTTCCAAATCCCAAATTAATTCAAGAGCTGAATTTCTCCAAGCTAATTGTCTGTGCTGTTCCCCACCACCAGAGGGCTGGGAGAGCCAATTTTTTTTCATTTAATAAATCCTGATCAGCTTTTTTTTTTTCTTTTTGTAACAATAATCCAGTCTGAAAGCAAAGAATCTTCCCTGCTTCCAGCAACCTTGGGAATGACACCTTGGATTGCCTTGGAGGGAAGCAGCAGCTTCACTGCAGTTTGTGAGGCCAAAATCAAACATTCCCAAGGCAGCTGGAATTGGAAATGAAGCTCCTGAGTCCAGAGTAATCAGTCACATAAGCCAGGGGAGGAAATGGGAATTTTATCCCTGAGAACCTGGGGGATGAAACCTCTTAATGGATCCCACGGGTGCTGGGATGCTGATTCTGGTCACTGAACTCCCTGGTTTTCCCAGTTTCTCCCTGTTTCTCCATGCTTTTTCCCTGATTTTCCCAGTTTTTCCTTGTTTTTCCCTGTTTCTCCCTGCTTTTTCTCTGATTTTTCCTGATTTTCCCAGTTTTTCCTTGTTTTTCCCTGTTTTTCCCTGTTTCTCCCTGCTCTTTCCCTGATTTTTCCTGGTTTTCCCTGTTTTCCTCTGCTTCTCCCTGCTTTTTCCCAGATTTTTCCTGATTTTCCCAGTTTTTCCTTGTTTTTCCCTCTTCCTGCTGTTCACTCCAGTTGTGAGTCCCTCAGCTCTCAGCTGCTCTCAGGTCCTCACATTCTGCCCAGTAAAAATGGGATTTTTTAGTGGGATTTTTGTGCATCCCAAAGCATTTCCTGCAGTTCTTTGATCCCTTCCTTCAGCACATTTACAGAAAATGTGACTTTTTCTCCTGTTTGTTTTTTTTTTTTTTTTTTTTCGGTGGCTCTCTCCAAGGGAAAATTCCCCTTTTTTAAATTTTTTAAATTTTTTTTTAATGGTGACAGAGCAATTCCAAGCAATTCCCAACCCAAGTTTGTTCATCCCTCAGACCTACAGCCAGCTGGCCCATCCCATCCAGCAGGCCAAAGCCTTGGGGCTCCAGTTCCACTCCAGGATCCTGGACATCGACAACATCGACGTGAGTTCCCTGCCCAGCTTTCCCTTTCTGGGGGGAATTCAACCCAGGGGCTCAGGAGGGGATTTTTAGGGTCAGGGAGATTGGAAAAATCCTCCAGGATCAGCAAGTCCAACCTTCTTTGCTCTGACTGCTGGGTTTGAGCTCTGGGGTTTGGGATTTCTGCTCCCAGAGGGGAAATCCCAGTGCTGGAAGGGGAAATCCCATTGTTGGAAGGGAAATCCCATTCCTAGAAGGTAAAATCCCAGTGCTGGAAGGGAAATCCCAGTGCTGGAAGGGAAATCCCAGTGCTGGAAGGGAAATCCCAGTGCTGGAAGGCAAATCCCATTGCTGGAAGGGAAATCCCAGTGCTGGAAGGAAAATCCCAGTGCTGGAAGGGAAATCTCATTGCTGGAAGGGAAATCCCAGAGCTGGAAGGGAAATCCCATTGCTGGAAGGGGAAATCCCAGATATCCAAGATACCTAAAATATCTTGGAGATTGAGTTAGGCTTGGGTTTGGGTGGAAAACTGGTTTTTGTTTGGATGGATTCAGCTCCAGTGTGGATGGGGATGGGGCAGCTCATTCCCTGGGATCAGGCATGGGAACGTTGCAGAGCTGTTGAGATTCCCTCAGGGAGCAGGAAAATCACCCTAAAAATAAATGTATCCCTTTGTGACACAGCCAGCCCTGTCCTGGTGCTGCTTCCTTTATTAGGGATAAAACAGAATGTTTGGGGACATTTCAAAAGAGGAAAATCCTGCTGTCCTCAGTCCCTGTGATTCCTTTTGGGGCAGCACAGGCAGGAATTCCAGAGCTGAAGAGCAGCAGAGCATTCCATGGCATCCTGCATTCCCACAAAAAAAAAAAAAAAGGATGCAAAGAGATTTCCCACAATGGGCAGAAAGAGAATTCTGGGTTTTTAAAAGGAAAAAAGCTGAATTTCCACTCCTCTTGCATTCCAGTGAATAAAGTCTTTAAACATTTAATGGAACAGCCTGGGAATAGAGGGAAAAAATCCTGGCAAACAAAAGGTTCCCACCTTGAAGTCTTTCTGGTACAGTTTTTGTCTGGTTCAGAACAACTTCCTGGCAAAAAGTGATTTAACAGCAGGAGAAAAGCTCTGTTTGATCCTTGTGGGTCCTTCCAGCTCAGGATGTTCTGATTCTGAGCATTTCCTTCAGAAAATTCCGATTTTTGGAGAGCAGGGTGGCTTTGATTTGGCTTTCTAATTGGGAATAACGCAGCAGAGCTCGTTCCCATTTCCCAGATTTATGGACTTGGGGAAATAATGAAAAAATCCACAACAGTTTTGGGGAAAGCTTTGACGGTTCCCAAGTTTTTCACTTGGAATCTTTTTGGGAAGCAGCTTTTCCACCATATCAGGATCACGGAATTGATGTGATGGAGCAGCCAGGGGGACTTTGGGGTGGTGGGAACCCTTCCCTGAGCCTGCAGGAGTGGGGTGATTCCAGGGAATTCCCTGTCCTGCAGCTGGCCATGGGGAAGATGATGGAGCAGGGCCCCGTGCTGATCATCACCTTCCAGGCCCAGGTGGTGATGGTGATCAAGAACCACCAGGGAGAGGTGGTGGAAGGGGACCCGGTGAGTGGGGACGCTTGGGTCTGGGGCCTGGGGCAGCTTTGGGGTCTGGGGTGGGTTTGGGGTCTGGGGCAGGTTTGGGGTCTGGGGCAGGTTTGGGGCCTGGGGCAGGTTTGGGATCTGGGACAGGCTGGAGGTCTGGGGCAGGTTTGGGGTCAGGGTCACATTTGGGCTCTGGGGCAGCTTTGAGATCTGGATGTGTTTTGGGTCAGGGACAGGTTTGGGGTCAGGGATGTGTTTGGGGTCTGGAATGTGTTTAGGGTCAGGGACAGGTTTGGGGTCAGGGGCAGGTTTGGGGTCAGGGATGTGTTTGGGGTCTGGAATGTGTTTAGGGTCAGGGACAGGTTTGGGGTCAGGGGCAGGTTTGGGGTTAAGGGCAGGTTTGGGATCTGGACGTGTTTGGGGTCTGGGACACATTTGGGGTCTGGGACAGGTTTGGGGTTAAGGGCAGGTTTTTTGGGGTCTGGGACACATTTGGTGTCTGGGACAGGTTTGGGGTCAGGAACAGGTTTGGGATCAGGGACACCTTTGGGGTCTGGACCCCTTTGGGGTCTCCCACTGCAGCTCCAGCTCCATCCCGTTCCCGCCTGGCCCTGCTGGGTTTCCCTCCCCCTTTTCCTTCCCCGGGGCCCTGGCAGGGCAGAGCCCTCTGGCACACAGGCTGGGAGCAGGGCTGAGTCCCTGGATCAAAAAACCCCAAATCCTCATTTTCAGCTCCCCACACTCACACCAAGAGTTCCATGGAAATCCCACAGGAAGCCCTGGCTGGAGCTGGGGCTGTGAGGGGTTCTTGGGGAGCAGGGAAGGGTCTGTGACACAAATCCCTGGCACCTCCTGAGTGCCCTGGGCTGGCCTTGGGGCTCTTCCCTCCTGGGGGGTGCCAGGCTGAGCCTGGCCCATGGAATTCCCTGAGTTTGTGGCAGCAGCTGGAGGAGGTTCCTGGAGTCCCTTTATTCCCAGGGAATGAGCATTTCTCTCTCCAGAAATAATAATATTTATATTTATACTTGCATATATTTATATTTATATTTATATACTTATATTTATATTTATTTATCTCTCCAGGCAGCTCCAGCCTGTTCTGGGCTTCAGTGGCTCAGTGACACCTCACAGTGTCAGAGCTGGAGCTGCCACTTCCCAGCACATTTTCCTTGGAATTAATACAGGCATTTAACAAATATTGGCTTTTGCAACCCTGGCCTTTGGTCCAGGCTGGAAAAATGGGATTCATTTGAATGATGGGGCTCATCTGGGCTGATTCACAACCAGGGCAGAAACAGCTGATCCAGTGATTCCCTGCATTAAGTTCCTGCATTCCTGGGAGATAAATATTGATGGGATAATTATTGAACAGGATATCAAAGTCTGTTTGCTGTCAGATTCCTCCAGGGCTGCAATAAATCAGGGAGAGGAATTCAAATTCTCCAGTGGAGCCCAAAGCTCAGCTTTAATCAAGAGCCTGGGGTTGGGTGGAGCTGCTGCAATATTGAACACGGGGAGGTTTGGGGAGAGGGGAGCCTCAGATCCCCAGAGTTCTGGGGGTGGAAGGAGCTGGAAGGGTTGGAGTTTTGGGGCTGGAAGGAGCTGGAAGGATTGGAGTTTTGGGGCTGGAAGGATTGGAGTTTTGGGGCTGGAAGGATTGGAGTTTTGGGGCTGGAAGGATTGGAGTTTTGGGGCTGGAAGGATTGGAGTTTTGGGGCTGGAAGGATTGGAGTTTTGGGGCTGGAAGGATTGGAGTTTTGGGGCTGGAAGGATTGGAGTTTTGGGGCTGGGAGGGTTGGGGTTTTAGTTTGAGTGTTGGGGTTCTGGGGCTGGAAGGATTGGGGTGTGAGTGTTGGTTTGGGCTGGAAGGATTGGAGTGTGAGTTTTGAGTTTTGGGGGTTTTGGGGCTGGAAGGATTGGAGTGTGAGTGTTGGGGGTTTGGGGCTGGAAGGATTGGAGTTTTGGGCTGGAAGGTGCTGGAAGGATTGGAGTGTGAGTGTGGCGTTTTGGGGCTGGAAGGATTGGATGTGAGCATTGTCTGGGGCTGCAGGGTGCTGTCAGGATTGCAGTGTGAGTTGTCTGGGGCTGCAGGGTGCCTGTGCAGCTGCCTGCAGTGACATCTCTCTCTCTGGCAGGACAAGGTGCTGCGCATGCTCTACGTGTGGGCGCTGTGCCGGGACCAGGACGAGCTGAACCCCTACATGGCCTGGAGGCTGCTGGACATTTCCTCCTCCAGCACGGAGCAGGTGCTCTGAGCAGGGCTGGGCTGGGCCCTTCCCACCCCTCTGGAAGCAGCTCCAGCCTGGAATTCCCCACGGGGAGCAGCCCAGGCTGGGGGTTTGGGAGAGCTCCAGCTTATCCCAATCCCTGAGGAATGGGAATTCCTGCTCGGGAACGTCTGGGACGAGCAGCTGCTGCTTCATCCTCGTGCCTCAGGAGGCTCCTGGGCAGCTGGGAACCCCCAAAGCTGTCATTCCCACCTGTTGGCACCCTTGGAGATCCCTGGAAAGGCCTTGGAGGGGCTCCTGGCTGCCAGTCTCCTGCCCTGCCGTGTCTTGCACTTTCCCAAACCAAATACAACCAGGACTTTGCACATGGAGGTGTTGGATCCTCAGGTTGGTGGTGGGATGGGGCTGATAATTGAATATCCAGGGCTGAGATTTGTTTATGCACAGCTTGCAAGGGGCAATGCTGTTGGTTCTGGTCACAAAGAGCCACAGCTGCGTCCCTCGTGGTGCTGGGGAGGGTGTGGGACAGGAGGGGAAGGGCAGAGGGAGTGTCTGAGCAGTGGGACTGCTTTTGGGAAGGCTGAATTTTTCTGTCCCATCCTGTCTCATTCCCAGGAGGAAAGCTGTGCTCCTTGCTCAGCTCTCTGGGCTTCTCTGCTCCTCATCCCTGCACAGATCCCAGGTCCAGGAGCAGAAACTTCCCCAGTCTGCTGCTGGAGTGTGGGGTGAAATCCCCTTTCAGGCCCAATCTAAAAAATGGGGTTTGAAAATCCCAAATCATGGAAAAAATTCCCTGAATTAATTTTCCATTGGCAGCATTCAGTGGGGTTTGGGACCCTCTCCTTCTTGAGCTTCTTTCTCCTGGGAGAAAGAGCAGGGGAATGGCTGAGGGGGAGCAGAAATTGTGGGATTTGGGCTTCTGGAGGGGTTTGGGAGCTGAGCCAGGGCCGAGGCACCTCCTGCCCGTGGGAAGGGAGCTTGGGAGAAGGTTTGGAGAGGAAATCCAAGGATTGCTGTGGTGCTGAGGGTGAGGCAGGGGAGCTCTGCCCCGCCAGAGTGATTAAAGAGAATAATTCCAGTTCCTCTTCTCTTGTGAGTGTCCAGAGCTTTGAACATCCCTGGGGTCTTCCCTGAGCCCTTTTCCCTTGGGATGTGACAGCTCCAGCCCTTGCAGCGTTCCCAGGGTGTGGGGATGCCACATCCCCTGTCTGGACCAGCCCCAGGGCAGGCTGGGGGTGACATTTGGGTCACAGCCAGCCCAGGGGATGCTCCAGGCTGGAAAGCTGGGATGGAGCAAGTCCAGGGAAGGGGCTGGAGAATTCCTGAGGGAGCTGGGAGGGGGCTCAGCCTGGAGCAAAGGAGGCTCAGGGGGACCCCTGCACAGCTCCTGCCAGGAGGGGACAGCCAGGGGGGTCAGGCTGTGCTCCAGGGGACAGGGACAGGAGGGAACAGCCTCAGGCTGTGCCAGGGGGGTTTAGGTTGGATATTGAGAAAATTCCTTCATGGAAAGGGTTGTAAAGCCCTGGCACAGCTGGAATCCCCATCCCTGCAGGGATTTAAGATCCACGGGGATGTGGCACTTGGGGACAGTGCTGGCTTCGTGCTGGTGGCCTTGGAGGCTTTTCCAGCCCTGGTGGAAGGGCCTGGGGGGTTCTGTGGTTCTGGGCTGGGCACTGCCAGCCCTGCCTGGGCCCCATCCCCGGGATGCCTGCGGGGTGAGCGGGGTTGCCATGGGGATGGGGATGCTGGGATGGTGACTCAGAGCTGCTCTGCAGCCTCTGACATCTCGTGGGCTGTTCCCCATCACTCGTGGGGGGCTCTGAGCCCCCACATCTCCCACACCTTCCCAGGCTGCTCCAAACCTGCAGCCTGGCCTTGGGCACTGCCAGGGATCCAGGGGCAGCTCTGGGAATTCCCCTGCAGGGCCTCCCCAGCCTCAGGGAGGGGCTGGAATGAGATGATTCCAGCCCATTCCAGCATTCTGTGATCCCAGAGCTGCCCTGGGAAGGCTGGGCCATCCCTCACTGATATCCCGAGGCTTTTGGGGCTTTTCTCCAGATCCTGCAGCGCTGCAGTTCGGACAACCAGCCCTGCCCTGAGGGGTTGGTTCAGGATTTTCCCAGTTCCGTGCTGGATTTGATGGAATGTGATGATCCCCAGTGCTCCCTCAGTGCTCTTTGCTCCTCTCTTCCTCCCTCCAATGCATTTTTGGGATGCAGCCCCTGCTGCCAGGTGAAATTGTCCTCCCTGGGCCTTTCTGGCACGGGGGCTCTTCTTTCCAGCCTTTAGCACACAGAGCATCCCTGCCAAATGACAGCTCCGAGGGCAGAGCTGAGCCAAGCCCGGAGCACCAGGCTCGTTTAGGAACAATTCATTAGAGGGGGGAGGATTTTTTGAATGAGGTGTTTTTCATCTGGGAAGGGAGCTGGGACAGATCCATGGAGCAGCAGCCTCCTGTGCTGCCTCTCCAGAGCTCAGCTCCTCTGCCAAAGCCTTGGAGATGTTTTTTTTTTTTGGTGGTGAATGATTCCAAAATGATTCTTCTCCTGTCTCAGATCAGCTCCAAGAGCTGTGAGTTCTCCCTGGAGCTGCTGGAAGGAGCGGGGGCTTTGGCAGGCTGGGTGGAGGGATGAGTTACTGAATTCTTCTGGCTCTGACTATTCCTGCCAATTAAGAGAAATAAATAAAGCTCAATTAAGGCAAAGGCTTAGAGAACGCTTCTCCCCACGGAGCACGGGGAGGAAATTCCACTTGGAAAGGTCCTGCCTGTGGCTGCCCCGTCCCTGGAGGTGTCCAGCCGGGCATGGTGGGAGGGGGTGAGACTGGAGGGGCTTTCAGGTCCCCCCAGCCAAGTCCCGATTCCCTGGCTCAGCCCTGGAGCAGCAGCAGGAAAATCCCAAAGGCCAGCGCTGAGGCTGGGCTGGGCAGAGGGCAGCAGAGATTTGTTTTCCAGAGGGAAACATCTTCCAAAATCCCCTGGGAGTGGCTGGGAGCCCATCGGGAGCAGGATCCTGACCCAGCATCCGGAGGGGCTGGAGCAGCTGGGACGTGCCAGCAGCCCTGGCTGTCACACAGCTCCCGGGGATGTCTCTGCAGGGCTGGAAAACCCCGGGAATGCCGCAGGGAGATGGGATCCAGCACCTCTGAGCCATCCCTTAAAAGCCACGCCGGTTCCAGGGCGGTTTGGAACGGCTGGAGTCCAAAGCAGCCCTCGGGAGGGAAATGACAGCGGGCTAAGGGATGGATCCATTGATTTTATCCTGTCCTTGATCTCCATCTCGCCTTTCCCTGGGATGTTTTCAGCTGAGGTGCCTTTTAAAACGGCTTTAATTCATTTTCCCTGGGCTGCTGCGGCGCTGCTAATTGGGAACTGGGACTATCTGACAGGATTTACATAGATTTTGAAACGGGAAAGGAAAAACTTCCAAAAATACCTCCCTTTTTAAACGCAAATGCAGCAGAAACTTCATGAAACCGTTTTCTTAAAATACCCTGAAAATCCGCGGTGATTTTGATGGATCCTCTCTGCCAGCGAGGTTTGCCCTGGGAGAGGATGGATCCGAGATCCCGGCAGGCTCTGGCTGCAGCGGGGTCTGCGAGCGCTGCCCGGAGCTTTCCTGGGATTGGGAGAGGCTCAGCATTCCCTGGGATTGAGGGAGGCTCAGCATTCCCTGGGATTGAGAGAGGCTCAGCATTCCCTGGGATTGAGAGAGGCTCAGCATTCCCTGGAACTGAGAGTGATTCGGCTTTCCCGGGAACACAGGCTCAGTTTTCCTTGAGAATACAGGCTCGGCATTCCCGGGAATACAGGCTCAGCATTCCCGGGAACAGAGGCTCAGCATTCCCGGGGGCACAGGCTCAGATTTCTTTGGGAACACAGGCTCGGCATTCCCGGGAACAGAGGCTCAGCTTTCCCGGGAACAGAAACTCAGCATTCCCGGGAACACAGGCTCAGCTTTCCCAGGAACAGAGGCTCAGCATTCCCGGGAGCACAGGCTCAGTTTTCCTTGGGAACACAGGCTCGGCATTCCCGGGAGCACAGGCTCAGCATTCCTTCGGGAACGAGCCGGGCGCTGGACCCGCGGCTCCCTCCATCCCACCCGGCCGTGGCACGGGCTCTCTCCTGGCGCTGTTTTGATCCCGGGGCTGTGAGCGGGACCTGCCCAGGCGAGGATGAGCCCCGCGGTCTCCATTGGCACCGGCACGTCTGAGTTCCCCGGGAACGTCTGCCACGAGCTCCCGTAGCCATGGAGACACCGAAGCCGTGCACAGCAACACTTTTCCAGGCGTTTTCTCCCTTTTTTATTTTATTTTATTTTATTTTTTTTTCCCTGCCAGCCTCCTCGGGTCCGTGTGACTCTGTTGTGCCCACGGCAAGGGCTGATAATTTTAAGGGAATAGTGGAATTTTCTGTGGAATGCCAGGTGGGAGCTGGCAGAGCTTATCCTTGCTCCCAGCATCCCGCTGCTTGCCAAGGTCTGTGCCACCCCAACGGGCAGCTCTTCCCATCTCCAGCCCAAAGGATTCCGTGTGGGATGGGGCATCTCTGCTCTGCAGCCGGGCTGGGAGAGCTGGGGGTGCTCAGCTGGGGAAAGGAGGGATCCAGGGAGAGCTCAGAGCCCCTTGCAGGGGGCTCCAGGAGAGCTGGGGAGGGACTGGGAACAAGGGATGGATGGAGGGAAAATAATCACCCCCTGCTCTGCCCCGGGGCTGTGGAAGGAGTGCTCCAGAGGGACGGATCCCGCCAGGAATGGTGCAGCAGCAGGGATGTGCTTGGCTGCAGGAAGGCTCTGAGGGTGTGCTGGAAGCTCCTGGCTGGAGAGGAGCAGCAGCTCCATCACCACGGTCCTGTCCCTGCTGCCAGCCTGTGCTGGCCACGGGAACATCCCAGAGATCCTGGGCAGGGTGGGATGAGAGGGCTGGGATGGAGCAGGGTGGGATGGGCAGGGTGGGATGAGAGGGATGGGATGAGAGGGATGGGATGAGCAGGGTGGGATGAGAGGGGTGGGATGAGAGGGGTGGGATGAGCAGGATGCTGAGCACAAGCAGCAGCAATGCTGGAATTCCAAGCTGCCATTTGGAAGGGATCTTGGCCAAAAATCCCCGTGGGGCCTGGATCCCCCCTGCCTGTCCCAGCACGGCGCTGCTCCAAGGCTTCCTGCCACCCCCACGGCCCTCCTGTCCCCCACATCCCCAGGGCTACTCCCATGGGTGCCCCTGCAGCCACCTAGACCCCCCAATCCCGTATTTTCACAGCATTCCCATGGATCTGCTCCCCCCTGCATCCCCAGGGTCCTCCTGCAGGACCACACCCACTGCAGCCCCCTGTCCCCAGGGCCCTGGGCTGTCCCCTCCCTGGGTGTCCCCACCACATTCCTGGGCATCGCCCCCCACGACAGCACAGCCCCTGCACCCCCAGGAACCACATCCCTGAAATCCCTCAGGAACCACATCCCTGAAATTCCCCAGGGACCACATCCCTGAAATCCCCCAGGGGCCACATCCCTGAAATCCCCCAGGGACCACATCCCCAAAATCCCCCCAGGATACCACATCCCTGCATCCCCTCACTCCACCTGTATCCCCGGCTTATCACATCCCTAAAATCCCCCAGGAACCACCATCCCTAAAATCCCCCAGGAACCACCACCCCTAAACCCCCCCATGGTGCCACCTCCCCCCGCATCCCCCCGGCTCCACATCCCGCACACCTTTCCGCATCCCCACGTTATCCCCTCACATCCCCCGCATCCCTCCACGCCCTCCGCATCCCCGCACCCCACGCACCCCTCCCTCCCTCCCTCCCCACCCCGTATCCTCACTCCGCCCCCCCAATCGCGGCTCCCCCCCCGTTCCGCAGCCCAATCAGGGCCGCTCGGAGGAATTCAAACCCCGGCCCCGCAAGCGCCGGCGGTGGCTCCGTTCCGCTCCCCGGCCGGGAAGGCTGCGCCGTGGAGCGGCCGGGAGCGGCGGCGGGGCCGGTCCGGATGGGCTCGGGGAGCGGCGGGGCGGGCGCGGCCCCCGCCCGCCGCCCGGAGCGCAGGTGAGCGGGGAGGAACCGGGGGGAAGCGGGGGGAA